AACGACATCTTGGTGCCATGATAGGGATGATAGGGGTTTGACTGGTCGACATTTTCTATGCTGTACTGTACAATCGGGCAGTATTGTGGTTGGCTGTTGGCTGTATACAAAGCCTGATTTGATTGGTCCCTGCTCCCTGTTTGCCCGCCCTGTCACTATAGCAGTCTGGTCCACACTTGCATCAGCATCTCCCTGGGACCTCACTAGTGCGCAAGTGAGAGCTCTTCAACATTCTAACAGGCACCATGATAGCGCAAAATCGCGAACCTTCAATGCATATGTAAAGAAATATACGGTAACCCGAATTTACCACACTCGCAAAATCGCACACAGCCAACCATACACCCAGTATGGTATCACGATTCGCGATTTTGCGCTATCATACTGGGTGTATGATCGGCTGTGTGCGATTTTGCGAGTGTGGTAAAATCGCGTAACAGCAAAATCGCATAACAGCCGAGCATACACCCAGCAGCGCTGCTGATGCCTGAACGGTATGTGGAATGAAGTGGGCGGGCATCGGGAGGCCACTATGGCACGGGGCAAGCACTATGGGTCGTCTATCTGAAGTGTACCTGGCGTATAAGACGACCCCCCACTTGGAGGCATATTTTTCAGGGCCAAAAAATCGTCTTATATGCCGGCAAATACAGTAATTAACACTGCAATTTATAGTCAGGTTGACGTAAAATGGTCATGCCACTTCTCTACACTGTGCTCTCACTTTGGGTGATGAACTGTACCAGGTAGTAAAAAAAAAATAAGAGTAATGCCCGGCTGGCATGGCTCAGTGATTGAACATCATCGACCCATGAACCAGGAGGTCACGGTTCAATTCCCCATCAGGGCACATGCTCAGGTTGCCTGCACGATCCCCAGTGTGGGGTGTGCAGGAGGCACCACTGCCAGAGTGATCTTCCTCAACTCCAATCTGACCAGTCATCCTCTTGTTTGCGATACCTCAAAGGTTTCCATTTGCTTTAGAATAAAGCCCAGCTCCTTACAGTGGTCTACATGGCCCTCCACAATTTTGACAAGGAGCACCTTCTCCTCCAGCCTATATATTTTTCCAGCAGAGAGATCGTGTCTTAATCTTTTGGAGATTTCCCCTTGCATAGTTCAGTGCTGCACACCGTAGATGCTCAATCCTGGTTTGATGAATGAACAAATGGTGAAACCTGGAAACTCACCTAATGGTGATGTGAAAGAGTAGAGAGGAGAGAATGACACTGGGGAGCTAAGAGGCTAAAGCAGAAGCTTGTGTTCTCGGTTGGTGGAAGTGGTGAGGGACCTCTCTGGACCCTCTTTTTAAGGGCACTAGTCCCATTCATGAGGACTCCACCCTCATGATTTAATCACTTCTCGAAGACTCTCACCTCCAAATACTATCACATTGGGGATTAGATTTCAAAATATGAATTTTGAGAGGACATAAACATTCAGTCAATAGCTGAATGCTCTGATAAAAAGAACTTGTATTCAAAAATACAAAAGAACTCTTAAAATTCAGCAATAGAAAACAAACATCCCAATTAAGAAGTGGGCAAGCCCTGGACAACGTGGCTCAGTAGGTTGAGCATCATCCTATGCACCCAGAAGGTGCTGGTTTGATTCCCAGTCAGGGCACATGCCCAGGTTGCAGGATCCCCAGTAGGAGGTGTGCATTGTGCATGAGGCAGCCAGTAGATATTTCTCTCTCACATCAATGCTTCTCTCTCTCTCCCTCTCCCTCCCTCTCTCTATAAAAGAAGAATCAATAAAAACATATTTTTTTAAAAAGTGGGTAAAAGATATGAACAGACACTTTACCAAAGAAGATATAAAGATGGCAAATAAATATATGAAGTATGTTAACGTCTCATTATGAATTGCAATTAAAACAATTAGATATTATTACACACCTAGTAGAAGGGCTAAAATACAAGAGACTAACAACACCAAATACTGGTGAAAATATGGAGGGACAGGAATTCTCATTAATTGCTGGAGGACATGGCACAGACATATTGGAAGAAAGTTTGGCAGTTTCTTCTGAAGCTGAAGATATTCTTACCATATGATCCAGCAGTTGCACTCCTAGGTATTTAGCTAAATGAGTTGAAAACATATATATACACAAAAACCTGCACACAAATGTTTACAGCAGCTTCATTCATAATTGCCAAAAATTGGAAGCAACCAATATGTCCTTCAATAGATGAATGGATATGTTTTGGTACATCAAAACAATGGAATATTAGCACTAAAAATAAATATCAAGGCATAAAAAGACATGGAGGGACTTTAAATGCCTATTGCTAAGTGAAAGAAGCCAGTCAGAAAAGGTTACACACTGTTTGGTTATAATTATAACATTCTGGAAAAGGCAAAACTATACATACAGGAAACAAAATCAGTGTTTGCCAGGGGTTTGGAGAGGGGAGAGAGAATGAAAGAAATGAATAGATGGAGCACAGGTAATTCTTAGAGCAGTGAAACTATTCTGTATAATGCTGCAATGGTGGATACATGACAATATGCACTTGTCAAAACCCATAGAACTGTACAACTTAAAAGTGAACCCTAACATTATTAGTTAATAATAATGACAGCATTTGTTTATCAGTTGTAACAAATATACCACACTAATGCAAGATGTTATTAATAGTGGAAACTAGAGGAGTGGGTGGTAATATAGAAACTCTCCCTGTACTTTTGCTCAATTTTCCTGAAAACCTAAAACTAATTTTAAAATAAAGTCTATTAATTTTGTCAAAAGCAATAGGAGCTCAAAAAAGGGGGGGTGGTGGTGGTGGAAGTCAGGCTTTCTTCAGAGTCAACGAAGGAAAGGGGGAGTCATGTGGCCAAGGATGGAGACAGTGGGTTCAGCTTGTTGGGGATCCAGAGAACAGGTGTGCTCTGGACAAAGGCATAGAGACAGCAGGACCAGCTGTTAGAGCAGCAACCTGGAGGATGGGCACAAGAGTTTCCAAGGCGTATGGAGTAGCACCCAGGGATGGTGGTTCTCAAGCCCGTTTGCCTACGAGAATTACCTGGAGCTCGTGACAGTCCCGACACCTACGCTGCACCCCAGTCCAAGCAAGTCTGGGACCCAAACATCAATTCACTTTTTAAATTTTTTTTAAGTTTTGTTTTGTTTTATTTCTCTGGGAAATAGCAAAAATAACAATAATGACAGCAGCTCAAGATATTGAAATATCATTCCTTGGTCATTTGAAAAGTATCATTTCACCAAGTTATGCAGATCTTCCAAATATTTACACATCTCATTATACAATATCAAACAATCGCATTGGTTAATATCACCACCACCCACAATGTTGTATGTGTTGTGAGGTTATTTTTATCATTACTTTCCTATTGTAAGAATATGCCACAAATTCTTTGTCTTCTCACTTATTGAAGGACATTTGAGTTGTTTTGAGATTGATGCTATTGTGAAGCGGCTGTGACCATTCACGTAGAAGTCTTTGTGCCGAATATATATATTCGTCCCTCTAGTAATCACATCTCTTCAAAACTTTTTATTTTCAGTCATTTTTATTTTAGCCATTGCAGTTCATGTGAAATGTTATGATTGTGCTGATTTGCATTTCCTGGTAACTAATAATATTGACCATCTTTTCATGTGCTTGTTGTCTATTGGCCTATCTCCTTTTGTCTAAGTCTTTTGTCTACAGGTGATTCTAATGTGCAGACAAGTCTGACAACCACTGATTTAGGGAGTTTGTCTTCCATATGTTGACTCAATTGAGGTGACAGTATGAAAAGAGAGGTGGATACACCACTTGAAAAGAGAGGTGGATACACCTAGGATGCGGGGTTCTTGGGCAGGTAAGAATACTTACTCTTTAATGTAAGGAATACCTCATCAGAAGCAAAACTATATAATATTTCCTTACCTATCTGGGGCTCCCCACTGTTTTTTAGGCTTAGAAAGTTCTTGGAGTCTCTTCCTAGAAAAAGAACTAACAAATACCAGCTGATTAATTCAAAGAGAATTCAAATTAATAAATATGGTTACATTAGATGACTTCTACCCAAACCCCATCTGAGGGGGGAAAGAACAAAACAATATCCTATTTGTTGTAATTTTTAAAAATATATTTTTATTGATTTTAGAGAGAAGAAGGGAGAGGGATAGAGAGATAGAAACATTGATAAGAGAAAAACATCAATGTCAATCAGCTGCCTCCTGCATGCCTCCTACTGGGGATTGAGCCTCAAACTCAGGCATGTGCTCCAACTGGGAATCAAACCATGACTTCTTGGTTCATGGGCTGATGCTCAACCACTGAGCCACACTGGCCAGGCCTATTTAATGTAACTTGAAGAATGCTAAAGAGCTCAAAGTATTTAAAAATATTGTGGACCCAAATTTCTCACTTATAGAATTATTAATAATTTAGTACATAATGAGACAAAGATAATAAATATGTAAAAAAAACCAAGAGTATACTGTCTCCAAAGGGCCCCAGGTAAAATAATTGCACACTTGTTAATGGGGAAAAGCCTCAATTCACATATTAAGGTAATTTGTAAATGGCTTTACGGCATTGGATTCTGAAGAGATTGTGCACATAAATTTCAGATTGATTGTCTGACTTTGGGAAAACTATGAAATAGGCAAAATATACTTTTGGTACCACTTCTCCCCCTCCCTTTCTTCCCTATGCAGCTGCCTTGGACCTTCCTGATTGTTCTGAACTTACCTATAGAAGAGATAGTTTATATTCCCCAAACATCCATGTGTTCATGTGTTCCTGTACATTTCCCAGCCTCCCTTGCAGCTTAGAGCCATGTGCTTAGTTATGTCTTACTTCAGCACAAGTGTTCAGTATCACTTCCAGAGCAATGTATATAAGAAGTAGAATGCCTCCTCTATTTCTCTCTTTCCAAAAAATCTTTCCCTTTTAAAATGACCCTGGAAGCCACATATTCTAGATGGCATATCTACAAGACAGAGGAGGGTCAACCAGCTCACAGTGGACTGTGTGACCTGAGGGAGAAATAAACTCTTATTGCATTGTCATTGAGAGTTTTGTGGCTTGTTTGTTACTGCAGCATTGCCTATATACTATGCAGACTAATACATCATCTATGTTACTGTGGTCATATTATAATTATTTATGTACTTGCTTGTAGTTTAAAGGGCCCAATATATAACAATGCTTTATTGCCATCCACAATTAGGAACTAACTAAAAAGCAGGCCCTCTTTTTTATTTTTATTTTTTTAAATATGTTTTAGTTTTACTTTAGAGAGAGAAGAAGGGAGAGGGGAAGAGAGAAACATCAATCAACTGCCTCCTGCACACACCCTACTGGAGATCAAGCCTGCAACCAGGGCATGTGCCCTGATCAGGAATTGAACTGGTGACGTCTTGGTGCATGGAACAACATTCAACCAACTGAACCACACTGGGCAGGCAGGATATGGCCTTCTTAATTAAATGGTTATTGATGCATCAGAAAGTGGGAGGAGGCAAAGAGGGATTAATAGGAACCCTCATGATTGCACATTCACAAAACTGGGCCATCCACCCTGAAGATCAAGCTAAAATTCTTCAATCAAATTACCTATTTCCATGTTACTCTCTGTTTATTTCACTTGCATTGTCCCTCGGCCTTTATTAATGACTTATTTGCCCTTAACACCTTGCCTTAGCTTAGCAGTACTAGGAGCATACTGTAAGTAAGGATTCCATGCACACAGCCAAGCCACAGTATTAACAAAGGAACATTTTCCCTGAGGCCAGTGTGGTGGTGATAGCAACAGTCAATCTTGGGGACAAGGAAAACTTGGTCCAACAATTATTTTCATCTAAGAGGTTACTATTCCAGTACCAACACTGGGATTCTAGGGTTTATTATCCTATATAATAAAAGAGAAAGATGGTAATTGACGTACAACCGCTATCCTTTTCATTGGCTAATCAGTGAGATATGCAAATTAGTCGACAGCCAAGATGGCGGCTAATTTGCATATGTCAGCCCCAAGCCTCAGACTGAAGCTTTAGGCTGGGGCCTGGGCAGAGCCATCCAGCGATCATGGATGGCGGGAGTGGCAGGGAGCTGGGGGTGCTCCTGCCCAAGCCTAAAGCCTCCGCCAGAGGCTTTAGGCTTGGGCTGGTCCAGCCAGCCAGGGATCCTTGATGGCAGTTGCAGCGGGGAACCGGGGCGGAGCCAGCCAGCGATTGGTGGCGGGGAGCTGGGGGTGCCCCGGCCCAGGCCTAAACCCTCAGCCTGAGGCGTTAGGCCTGGGTCAGGGAGGAGCCAGCCAGAGATCGTTGATGCTGGGGGTGCCCCGGCCCAGGCCTAAACCCTCAGCCTGAGGCGTTAAGCCTGGGTCAGGGAGGAGCCAGCCAGAGATCGTTGATGGTGGGGAGCATGAGGAGGGTCCGGCCCAGGCCTAACACCTCAGCCAGAGGCTTTAGGCTTGGGCTGGGGAGGAGCCAGCCAGCTATCGTTGATGGCAGGGAAGGTGGGGAGCATGGGGGGAGGGGCCCCGGCCCAGGGCTAACACCTCAGCCAGCGGCT